CAAGAGGGTTTCACCCCTTCCCACGCCCCCACCCCGCTTCCTTCATGGTCACCCGCTCCCGTCAGGGGACGTCGGGGCTGGAGGAGACGATGGCACCGATCCCCTACCATCCCCAGCTCCTGCCAGCCTCCCCCCCCACAGCCCCCCGCACCCGTGTCCCTGTGCCCACCCTTGTCCCCCCCCAGAGATGAGCCGTCCGTTTGGTGTGAGTATAAATACTTTATTGCTGCTGTGCTGGGGTGTGTGGGGCACAGGGGGGCTGGCACAGGCCCCCAGGGCCGGGTGGGTGTGAGGGTGTGTGTGCCAGTGACAGGGTGCTGCCCAGAGAAGCAAAGGGGCACAGAGGGTGCTATCACGGGCCCGGCCGTGTCCCCGGCTGTGCCACCGACCCCTGCGGCACGGCCGTGCTGGCAGGGGCTCATCTGCCCTGCTCCTGCAACCGCTGCATCCTCAGGATCTGGCACAGGAGTCTCTGCACGTCCTCGTCCATGTGGCCCTGGGGTGGAGGGGACATTGGTGGGGACGTCAGAGGGGACATCAGGGAGTCTCTGTGCGTGGCCCAAGCGCCCCTGGGTCGGCAGTCCCTAGATCCAGCCCCTTGCTGCCTCCCACACGCATGCGGGCACCGACGTGTGGCTGGCTGGTGCCCCGTTTTTTTCTCCGGTGGCCCCGAGTCCCCCCCCAGCCACGTCCCCATCTCACCTGCACTGCGTAGAGCAGGTGGCTCCGGTACAGCGTCACCACCTTGCTGTGCCGCATTTCTGTCTCCTGCAAGAGAGCGAGCGGGTTCGAACATGGGGCTGGGGGCTCGTGGAAGCCCAGAACCCACCAGGCGACAGCCACAAGCCCCCCGGTACCCACCTCCAGCTTCTCCTCCAGCGCACGGATCCTGGCCTGGAGCGCGGCAGTGTCGGGGGGTGACTGCGGCGCTCCCCGGGACTTGGGGAGGGCATTCAGGGCTTCCTTCAGCCTGAAGACCTCCTTAGAGAGCTCAGTGATCTGCACAGCGCACAGAGGTTACAGGGACCCAGGGACCCCTCAGCCCCCAACTCCCCTGGGGTCCACCCATGGCCGTGCCCGCTGCCACCCCGGGGTGGCCCCTGCGCCCGGGCAAGGGCAGAGCTGGGACTTTCCCACCCCACCCCTTCTGCCCCTGGTTTCAGTCTCAGCTTGGGGAGAAAAAAAGGGGAACAGCCGGGAGAGCGGCAAGTCCGCATGCAGGGGCACGTGTGTGTCCGCGGTTGGACTTCACGTGTGCAAGCGTGCGTGTATGTGCAGGTGCGTGCAAGTGCGTGCAAGCACGTGCACTTGTGTGTGCACGTGCATGTACATGTGTGCACGCATCTGTGTACACACGTGCGTGCATGTTTGCGAGCGCGTCTCCCCTGCGAACCCGGCCAGCTCAGCTCACCCGAGCAGCGCCCGGGCCACCATTTCCCCTCCCAGGAGCCCCTCGCCACCCCCCGACACCTCCTCCCTGTCCCCTACCTTCCTGTCCCTGTCCCTGACCAGCTGGGC